CAACCTGGTTGGTTCTATGATTCTCTGCCATTCTTAGTGTGGTGAGGTGATCTACAGTTGTTATGTGCTCTGGACATTTAGCTGGGCTGGGTTTGCCATTGCTTGGCCCACTGGACTTCTGTTCTAAGCAAGCAGGCCTGGAAGGTCTTGGTGCCATATTGATGTCAGATGTTATTTAAATTAAGGCTTTGGAGTGAAGGGGTTTTGGAGCTTTGTGTGTTACGTGGGGTGGGTTTTTTTGTTGGGGTTTCATTTTGTTTGTTTGTTTTTGTCATTTTTGTTGAACAAGTGAGGTGCACAATAGCTCTTAGTTTTGAGATGATTAATTACTTCAGGTCTTTTTAGAATGTTCATTAATGGGTTTATCAAAATCCTATGGTCTGCAGGTTGACAGCTACAAGTTAGAGGAAAGTTGACACAATGTTTATAGAATGACTGCATTGTTTATGATACCCTTACCATTATACCATTATATCTAAGTCACTAGAAAGTTTTGCAACTTGAATTTGTGCTGTTTGAATATAAAAATGTGTCTTTTTCAGGGACCTTAAACCAGAGAATATCTTACTAAATGAAGATATGCACATTCAAATAACAGACTTCGGAACAGCGAAGGTGTTATCTGCAGACAGCAGACAAGGTGTGCCATTATTTGCTTCATTATGCCTCACAGATAGTTACAGCAAGTGGTCCTTTGAAAATGTACATATGTGGAATTGACCAAACTGTAACCTTCAAATACCATTACCTCATATGAATCACTGAGATCTCAAAACAGTTTTGCCAAAAGTGATAATAATTTGGTGTTCTGGTATAACCAGCTAGATCACCAAATACAGTGGGAAGTTAAACTGCTTCAAAATATGTGGTTTTCATTTGTAAAACAAGAATACAAACAAATGGGCACTGTGGCTCAACTGATGCAGGAAGTTTTTACTCTGCTTACGTGTTTGACTCCAGTGGCTCTCAGAGTTGTGCAGGTGTGAAGACTACAGAGTTCTTGTGTCAGTAGTTGTCAGTAATAACCTGTGGGTAGATGCTGCAAACATTGCCTGTAAAAAGCACTGGGCTGCACTGGATTTGAGGCACTTTTCCTTCTGGAATGTAGTAGCTTGTGTTGATAGATTTTGTAGCTGACCAAGTGCCTCAATGCCTAGCTGCTTGAACCAAATGGGTGTCAGAGAGAGAGAGCAGAGAAATTAAATTCGTGGGAGTTCTTCGTAGCATTAGGTAACCTGCAAGTGTTGCCTTCCTCAGCTGGGTCAGGGCAGGGGAGGAAGATTGGCTTAACCATAACTGTGTACTTGTTTCTGTTTCCTTCCCAGCACGGGCAAACTCATTTGTAGGGACAGCACAGTATGTTTCTCCAGAACTGCTGACGGAGAAATCTGCCTGTAAAAGGTGAGGACTTTACTATAATAATTTCAGAACTTTACTGACTCTGTCAGGGTACTGTCACATGGGGGGAGTAGATAAATCAAGCAAGCAAGCTTAGCCTTCTGAAAAAACAAGAAGGTTGAGTATAAAGGTTTTTTAAGAGTTTGAAAAGTTTTTTCTTAGCAAGTGTCACTTGTCTGAGTGCTGGTTTCCTCAGTTCATCTGCCTTCTGGAGTCCTGCAGACAGGATTAGGTGAGGTTGGAGAAGAAGATGTGTAATGTGAAGTTGGATTTCTTACCGATAAATATATCAGAAAAACCTTTTCCATTACCCAGATAAGATATTATTTTAATTCTGTTTTATATAAGCTTGCTCAAATATGGTTTCTCCTGCTGCATGCTCACTTAGGGAGGAGGGCTACAGCTTTCTTTGACTTTTGTTTAGGTCAATTTGCAGTTACCTTTGCTAAGCTCTACTTGGGGTTTGCAGTATTTTAAAGCTCATCTCTGTGCCTGGTGTGAGTGATGCCCTTAAGAAATTTCTGAACCCATTAAAATTGGTTGTTGGTAACCAACTGAATGTGTCTATTCTATTACAATGATGGAAGAGGAAGCTAATGGCTGACAAATCATAGGGAAAAAAGATCTCTTATATGAGTAACTGGTAATTTGTGCTATCATTTCTTGAAGTGGTAGAAATACCATCAGACTTTCCATGTTTGCTTCTAGTAAAGAAGTTTTGGCTGATGGAAAGACTTCATCAGGCTATCATCTCCTTCTAGGAGTTGCATAATGCTTCACCTGTACAGAAAGCTCTTAATTTGAGGAGTTTTGAGTCTTTGTTAGGATTTTAGTATTCCATGAGGATTTGGAAGCTTTAATCAAATCTGTGTCTAGCTTTGCTTGAGGTAAAATAAGCTAAAGGTGCTCTTTGAGGCAAACAGACAGAAACTTGACTTTCCCTCACTCATGCACTGTGTAGCCTGCCTTTTAGCTTGTGTCTTAAGCTCTAAGTGAAAAAGCTGTATTGTAATTCTGGGGTTTTTTGTATAAAATATTTAGAGGAAAGGATATTAATTCTGAAGGAGCATGTATTGTATCACTGCATTCAGTGGAATGCACCTTGGAATTGTCATAGTGGGTAATCAGTATTCTTTGCAGTCTCATTACATACCTGTTATTTTGACTGATAATTCAGCTGTCTTGCACATGTGGGGTTGTTACTTTATACTTCTTTCTTGAAAGTGGTGTGGCTAGCCTGCTCTTCTGTCAAGGGCTGAAGTGAAAATAGTGTGGAAATTATACCAAGCAGGTTTGTCCTCTGGGTTCATGCTATGTTGTAATTAGCAGAAGATTAAGAATTTTGCTTTTTAAATTACAGTTTAAAGACTTTTAGGAAAAGACGCAATTTTTTTTTCCTCTTTCTTTTGAAGCTCTGACCTCTGGGCTCTGGGATGTATAATATATCAACTTGTAGCTGGATTGCCTCCATTTAGAGCCGGGTAAGAGATTTAAGTTGATTCTTTACATGTGGATCATAATTGTATTGACTTGGGTTTGACTTTTACCTTTCTACAAGGTCTGAAGTACAACTTTTCATGGTGAAGTGTTGGTGTTAATGTCATGCTTGCTTTCATTTGTCCTTTTTGATGTCATGAAGTTGCTTAAACAGCTATAACTAGAGTTCCTGAGAGATTCCTCAAGTTACCCTAGAATTTCACATGTGGTTTGTACTATAAAGGTACAAATGTATAAACTATGTGAAGAGGGTATAAAGCATCTCTGAGTTATCTGAACTTTAGTGCTATTGCCCAAGTATCTGGTGCTTACAGGATTGTAGATCCTTTGTCCTAGAAAGATTTATGGGAATGTGACTTAACTTGTAGATTTCCTGTTGAATATTTGTTTGGGTTATGCAGGTTAAGGTGAAAGAACTATGGAGAAGGAATCACAAGAGTTAATATTTTCTCTTTTTCAGAAATGAGTATCTTATATTCCAGAAGATAATAAAGTTGGAATACGATTTTCCAGAAAAATTTTTTCCCAAGGCAAAAGACCTTGTTGAAAAGCTATTGGTAAGTATTTGGGGCTGTTAAGTGTTTCGATGACATCAGAATCATTCAGCTTGTATATAGTCTCTTCTTTGCACTATATTGCAAACCTTATAGTAAGAACAGCTGTGAACATTATTGCCTGTGTAGCAGAGTGGCTTGAAAATCAATATCTGTTATTAAACAGCACTTTGATTATGTCTTTTAAATCTGAATTCGAAAGTGTAGATGAGGAATGTCTTTGAACCGGAAGCAAATGATTCTGACCACTGTGCACTACACACAGAAGTTAAGATTCAAATACTTACGTTTACATAGTTCCTAGATGAATTCTTGTTGGGTTGTATAATGGATCATTTAATTGCAAACAGCCTTCTCCACATCACAGGCAGGTATGTTCATTACAGTGTAAATCCACTTACCTGGCACTTAACATGTCTCAGTAGTATCAGCCTAAGAATTCCTGTCCATGTGAAGGTTTGAGAAGAAGGAAGCAAAAATAATTCTGTCTCATCTTTGAGATTATAGCCATGACACTGAAGTGAATATGACAGAATGTTTTGGGTGGTACAAGCTTTTTGAAGCTTAGTAGTCTAGCATTTTAGCAGGGGGTGAGGAGGAAACTCATGTTTGTGGATGATGAGGAGTGCAACCATTGTCAAAGGCCGAGCAGCACGTTCCTGTGTCCCAGGCCAGCTCTGGGGCCAGGCCAGTGTCTGCTGAGGCTGTGTTAACATCCTGAGAACTGTGTTAAGGCACTTGAGAGGTTGATGTTTGGCAGCAGCTATAGCTTCCATGGCTTCTTGCATCACCAGAACGTGGTGGTCGGCTATACTTAGACAAGATATGCTCCATCAGGCCTTCTATGTGTGCTTGCTTATGTCTGTAGGAAGAAGCAAAACCAAAACATTGTGTGGCCCCAAGGAAGTGCTTCTTTCCTTTGATCTGTGAGCTGGTCTAATGCAAAGCACTGCTGACAAATAATATCTTATAAATAAGCAGTCTCCTTATGTGATAGGTGTGTGTGCTTAGGACAGGGAGACCAACTGGTCTTAAGTTTGCACATGGTGCTATGCAAATGTGAGCAGTGCTTTCCCCTTCCTTGTCACTGTTTTGTTTGGATTAACTTAATTTTAATTTGCTCAGGTTCTAGATGCTACCAACAGACTGGGTTGTGAAGAAATGGGAGGATATGGACCTCTGAAGGCTCACCCCTTCTTTGAATCCATTGTGTGGGAGAACCTCCATCTTCAGACACCCCCTAAACTTACAGCCTATTTACCTGCCATGTCAGAGGATGATGAAGACTGTTATGGAAATGTATGTTTGCCTGTTGCTATATTCAGCTCTGCTGCTGCCTGAGATTTGCATTAAAGCATAGCTATTGAGCAATAAATATTTTTACTGAAACTACTGATTAGTTGTATTTTAATTAAAACTTTAATTATTAAGAATCTAAGATAAAATTGCTGGCTAAAATTTTAAATGAGTTGGCATTTGTTTTCTGATAAAGGGAGTGTTTCAAAAAATACTGCTTGGATTGCTTCTGATGAAGCATACTCTTTTGGCTAAGTGCCTGTTGATCTATAGAGAGCAGGCTGAATTTTAGCCCAAAAACATGCTTAAATTAAAAGCCACAGTTTAGTGCAAAATAAGTTTTTTAATAAGACATCTAATGACTTCATTTTGTTTCCTCCTTTAGTATGACAATCTCCTGAGTCAGTTTGGGTGCATGCAAGTTTCTGGTTCTGCCTCTTCCCATTCACTGTCTGCCCCAGAGACAAGTACACCACAGACATCAGGAGGAAATATTGAACAGTACATTCATGACCTTGACAACAATTCCTTTGAGCTGGACTTACAGTTTTCTGAAGATGAAAAGAGGTTACTTCTGGCAAAACAAGCTGGTGGAAATCCTTGGTAGGATCCTTGACTGTAGCTCATCTGTTCCTTGCACAGCAATAAAGAAACTTCTAAAATAAGTGATTTTTATTCCAGTTAATATTTGTCAATCTTAGTATCTTCAAGCAAACAATCAGTGACTAGGTTTTTCTTGGCTTTATTTTTAGAGCAATAGGAGCAGAAACCCAACACTGCTTCTAAAATTCACAAGGTCTAGAAATTGGTGTGGAGTATGTTTGTAAGATGGGCAGAATGACACTGTCCAGTGCTGAGAAATCTTCACTCCACAGAGCCCTAGAACTGGGAGAGGCTCCTCCTTCCTTCCAGATGCCCTCAGTTTTGGCATGATAATATCCTGTTGATATCTAGCCAAAATACCTCCAGACTATGTAACTATTAACATTCCATTCCACTTTCTAGAGAAGTTTCTCATGTGTGGTTGTGGGGGTTGTTTGAGGCTTTTTTTTTTTTTTTCACCTGTCAGACTTTAGAAAAAAATGCTTTGTCCTGGAATGAGGAAGAGTTTAAAACTCATCTGGTAAAGCTCTTCAGGGCTCTTCGATGGAAGAGGAGGCACTAGGGAGTGACAGGGAAAATTAATAGTAATAATAATAGTAGCTGTTTCTGTGGAGAAATTACTTCTGGAGTAATAGTTGTTTTTCTTTTTTTTAAGGCATCAGTTTGTAGAAAATAACTTAATCCTAAAAATGGGTCCAGTGGACAAAAGAAAGGTAAGGGTTTTTTTTGCATTTCCTGTAACACAATTCAGCCATCACCGTTTTTTTGCAGTTGCAGCACAGATATGGAGTGTATTTTAAAGCTTTCAGCTTAAAATAAGTGACAAATTGTTTGTTTTCAGAAATGTTTTCGTGTGACTAGATTGTTTTTGCTTAGTTCAGCGATGTGCTCTTGATTTCTTGGAAAAGATAAAAGTAAATCTATTGTTGCTTTCCTTTTGAGGTTGTAGTAAGTGAGTTTTTGTTCCCTCTCCTCCTCCCAATCTGATGCAGCTCACTAAACACCTTTTCTTGATGCCCGTCTGGATGTGGCTTGAGGCACAAGTATTGAAATACAAGCCCATATTATTCTTACCTGTGGTGCTTTTCCTGGCTCTGACTTAGTGCCTCTGTCCCAAAAGAGACAGAGGTGGCATTAAACAGCTTTGAGTACTAACTTCAGCATTGTACAGATGGGCATCATGTACTGATAGGCTGTGTCAGCTTTACAGGAAAGAAGGTTCTCTGTCATCTGAGTTCCTACCTGCTTGTTCCTAGTCTGTTCTGCAGAATTGTGACTCAATTTCTGTGCTGCAGCCTTTGACAAATAGGCTTTGCTTCACTCCAGGTGAACACAGAGGTGCTTTATGTTTTCCTAGAACTTGAAGATGCTTTCCTAA